GCGCCTCGTCGCCTCGCGCGCCTCCATCCGCCCGCGGCGTCCCATCTCGCCATGTCGCTCCGCTTCATCAGCACGGAGGTCCTCAGCAGCACCGACGGCCTGTCCCACGGCGAGACCACGACCCTCGAGACCGAGGAGGTCGCCGCGGCGAAGCGCCAGCAGGCCTGCTCCTCCGGCAAGACCCTGCGCGCTTTCCGCGTCCCGCGAGGCCCCGCCGGCCGCGCGCGCCAAAAACCGCCGAATCTTTCAGGTACGAGCAATTGGAGGCGGAGAAGGCGAAACAACAAGAAGCGTACGACGCGAACACGAAGGCCATCTTCGCGCCGAACCAGGCCCTCGACGACGAGGATGTCGAGTTCTTCGAGTCGGAGCAGCGCCGCCGGCGGCAGGCCCTCGCCGCGCGCGACGAGGTCGAGGCCTCCGCGTTCGAGCGCCTCCGCGAGGGCGCGGGCGCCGCGGCGCCGCCGCCGGCCCTCAAGATCGCCGCGGCGCCGCCGAAGCCGCCGGCGCCGCCCGCGCCGCCGCTCTCGAAGATCCGCCGGCGGCCCGCCGGGGCCGCGGCGCCCGCGCACAAGCGCGCGCGCGCGGGCGACGCGGGCGACGCGGGCGGCGCGACCTCGCCCGCGCCGAACCCGCTCGCGTCCCTCGCGTGCTACGACGACAGCGACTCGGACTAACGCCCGCCGGACTGTTAGACGCAGAAGGGCACGTCGAGGGGCTTGCCCTTGTCGCGGGGCACGCAGGGCGCGACGACGCAGGCCTTGTAGACCTTGGTGACGTCGCAGTACTCGCGGGCGTGGGACCGCCCCCGCGCGAAGCTCACGCGGCGCAGGCCCGGCCCGCCGTGGCCCGCGCGCGTCCTCAGCCAGCCGATCTCCTGCGCCGTCGTCGCGGCGTAGACGTAGCGCTGCCGCGGGGCCTTGTCGCCCTTGGCGAAGGTCTTGAAGGCGTCGGCGAAGGTCGACGTCGACGTCGCGCCCACCGTCGCCGGCCGCGCCGACGGGTCGAAGTGCTGGGGCTTGACGGGCTCGAGCCACGTGCGGCGGCCGCCGCGCGTGTCGAGCCGGTAGGGCGCGTGGTCTATGGTGATGGCCTTCTCGTGGCGCACGCGCTCGCGCCAGGCCCGCGCGTAGTCGATGGTGTGGAAGAGGTCGCTGTCCTTCTTCTTGACGCCGTCGACGACGCGGCCGAACTTGTCGATGACGCCCGCGGCGAGGTTCGCCTGGTCCTTGTGCGGCGGCATGCGCACCGCGCGTCGGCGGCGGCGCGCGGTCGTCGTCGTTCGCGCCGGCCCGCGGGGGCGCGCGGCCGGGGGTCCCGGGGGAGGTGGCCTCTGCGAGAGCACGCGGGAGAGCGGGCCCAGGCGCGGGCGTTGCTGCGGGGGCTGCCCTCGGATGTATCCCCCTCAACGACGTTCAACGAAAATGTTCCTCTTGTGTTGTGGCAAAAGCTCTGGGCGCCTCCTCCCGGCATGGCCGACTTCCTCGAGACCGAGCTCGGCGAGACCATCGCGGCGGCGCGGGAGCTCGTCAACGCCGGCGACGGCGCCGGCGCGGAGACGAAGCTCTCCGAGTGCGACGACCTCCTGGCCCAGCTCAGGATCGACGCGCGCACGTCCCTGCGCCGCAAGGAGCTGGAGGCGCGCCTCCGGGCCCAGGCCGCCGAGGTCGAGGCGCTCCGCGGCCGGGGCACCCTCTTCAAAGGCGCCGCGCCCGCGCCGGCGGCCGCGGGGCGGGACCGGCTCGAGCGCGCGCAGGCCCGGACGGAGGAGTCGTCCGCGCGCGTCGACGCGACGCGGGCGCTCGTCGAGGACATGGAGGAGACGGGCCGCGACATCCTCGACGAGCTCGGGCGGAACAAGGAGACCATCGCGTCCATCAACGGCAACATCTCGACGACCAAGGGCGACCTGCAGCAGGCGGAGAAGATCACGACGCGCATGTCCAAGTGGTGGAACCGGTGGTGATCGCGTAAATGCATGTACCCCTCGTCGACGCCCGGGCGGGCGACGGCGTCGTCGGCGTCGGTCCGGAGCCTAGCCGCGGCAGTTACCTCCGCGCGTCGTCGAGGCCCGGCAACACGCCGTCCGCGCAGTGGGGCCAGGCGAAGGCGTCGTAGATGTAGGTCATCGCGTAGCTCCGCGGGTCCGTCATGTTGAGCAGCTCCCGGTTCGTGAGGTAGGCGAGCACGAAGGCGCCGTCGCCCTGGACGTGGGACTTGAAGGCCGTCAAATCGTCCTCGCGGTGCCCGAGGCACGGCGACGTCGCGCCGTACTTGCAGAGGCTGCCGCCGCTCCACGTTTGGTCGTCGAAGTCGGACACGAGGCGCTTGTACTGGAGCAACCGGTCCAGCGTCGGGTGCATGGGCCAGAAGCTCGGGTCCAGCGGCGACTCGGCGCCCGCGTGGTCCCCGAAGGCCCACTCCGTGCCGCAGACCGCGCGCGCGACCGCGGCCTGCGCGCCGCGCGGCACGGCCGCGAGCTGCGGCACGAAGGCCGTGAGCTTGTCGTTCTCGAAGACGGCGCGGCGCCACCAGGCGAGGTCCGCGTCGTC